ACATTCTTTCTGCTCTGTCTTTGTAATAACCTTTCCATTTCTTCACAGATGACATCCTTGATGTCCTCCCTCCTCGTCTGGCCTTTGGTCATCATTAGTGCTCAACACACCGTATCTGTTCTAAGATGCGAGGTTGGTTTTTTTGTTCTCGTGAACTAAAATTTCATCTTCTTCACTTCCAATCTGAACTTGCACATAAGTTGTTGTCGTTGTTGTTGTTGTTAAGTGCCGTCAGATCACAGGCAACTCATAGCGACCCTATGAAGAAGAGTTCTCAACACTTGGGTTTCTCATCCTCTCTCCAGGTTCATAGGTAGCTTATATTTTTTTAATAAGTAGCTGATTTTGCCCACAGAATCCATCAACATTTCCCCTTGAAGTTTGAATATTTTCTTCATTTTTTTCAGTTTAGAAATGCTGCATATACTCTTCCCTTTCTAGGTTTTTGCACACACCACTAAAATATTTCACTTTGTCGTCTTGAGTCAGCCTCTGAACTCTCCTGTTCAGCTTTTTGCTTTGTTTTTTTTTTTCATTTCTTCCATTTGCTTTAGCTACTCTACATTAAGAGCAAGTTTCAGAGTCTCTTCTGATGTTCAGGTCGGTCTATTCCTCCTTTCATTTCTTCTTAATGGCCATTTGCATTCTTCACAGGTGATGCCCCCAGTGTGACTTTACAACTCATCAGTCCTTAATGTCAATCCATCAAAATGCTCAATCCAGCAAATCTACTCTTTTCTCTTTCAAAAACACCTTCTTTTTGGCGGAAACGCACCCAGGAGATCATATGTCCACAGAACCACTTCTACACGCAGAGCTGAAAGAAAACCGATGCGCTCTCAACACTGCATCACCACTCTGTCGCTCTGTTATCACGCCACCGCGGACTCACTCACTGACCCCAATCACCTGACGGATGTCAGTGCCTCTCTGGATTGTCCATCCAATGTCACACAGACACAGATTTCCTCTGGTATCAAGGTCAAGTGTTCTGTGAAAACTCTCATGAATCAAAATGACACAAAATTGAGAAATAAATACTACTCACTTGCTTGGGAAACATCTTTGAGCACTCCCAGACCTAAAACATGGACCTTCCCAATAAAGCCAAAAATAACAGACACAGAACGTTCACAGACACAGCACAGAGCCAGGCGTGCAGGCTCCAGGTGGAGGAGTCTGTGCTTCAAATCTGTTTTCTTCCCTCCCCTAGTGCACTTTGCGGTACACCTCCTGTTCCAGACTGCCGGCACTGAGATGGCCTCTAAGTCAGGCAGGACACTGTCCGGGTCGCATGGACAACTGCATGCCAACAAATTCGCTAACTCAGTGCAAGTGGGCAACTCCTAGGAACCCCAATACCTACCTGGACTCAAGCGACAGAAAATCTCAACTGAGAAGTGAGAAGACGGGATCAGTAATCCAAAACCCCGAACCGTGTGGTTTCACCAGGGATTCACCGCACAAGCCAACACTCGCACCAATCCTACGTAAACAGAGCAGGAGAGGGAGCACTTGCCCCTCAGCCACTCACCGTCCGAGCGGAGCACCACGCCGCCCCAGGAGCAGAGAGACGGCCCGGAGGAGTGCTGCTCCAGCACAGAAGTGCAGGCAGAACCACATTCTCTTACGGTTCAAGAACAGGTATGCAGAGGCAACACAACCCTGACATGCTCCCTTCTCAATTTTAAAACATGCCGTGTTTCCCTGCTGTTTGCACAAACAGCCTCCTGGTCCAGGGATAGACTTTGCGTGAGTACAACCAAGTGATCTGGGATTCCCATCCTTCGCAGAGTCAGCCACAATTTATGCTCCACACAGTCAAACGCCTTTATCTAGTCAATAAAGCACATTCTCTTGGTATTTACTTTCAGCCAGGATCCGTCTGACATTAGCCCTGGTGCCACAGCCTCCACTAAATCCTGCCTGAACTTCTGGTGCTTCCTTATCTATGTGCTCCTCTAGCCGGCTTTTTATCATCTTCAGCAGTCTTTTGCTTGCATGTGATATGAATGATATTGTTAATAGTTTCCACATTCTGTTGGGTCACTTTTACCCAGGACAGAGACCTGGGTCCAAAGAACGATTCCCCTCTCAGCCCTTTCCCTCCCCTCTGTCTCTCAGTTGTCTGTCTGTCTGTTTTGCTCTCCTTTATTTTTCTCCCCTCTTATCTCTCATGAGAGTAAAGCTATCACAACGCAGCCCAGCTTCCCTTCTGTGGGATCAGAGCAGGGCTAGGCTGGGGTAACACATCACATCCCCACTCAAGGCTGCACAACAACTGGTTTATCTGAAATGGGGATCACTGCTTAGTGTCCGTGTCACGTCCACACACACATGCACGTGAGAGAACCACCTATGAAGAGGGATGCAAAAATCCTCAACAAGGTATGAGCAAACTCAATCCACTACCCTAACAAAAGGATTATAAACACAACAAGGGGGAATTATCTCGGGAATACGAGGGCGTCCAATCAGAAAGTCAATGTCACACACTAAGTGCAGGGCAAAGGACATCATCTCCGTCAGCGCACTGACAGGAAGGGATCTTTTAAAATTTCGTATCTTTTCATCAAAACACTCTACAAACTGGGAATACAAGGGAAACGCTAGGTCCTCTCCCCTGAAATCAGGAACAAGAAGGATGCTGGCTTCACTGCTGCTGTTGACGGTGTGTGGGCTCTGGAGGCAGACACACGGGAACCGCACTCCTGGGCCAGGGGCTGCACCTGGCTGGAGGTGCACATTCACCAGCAGCTCACGTGGAAGGAGGTAATCTCTTCCCGTGTGTCTGAGAGGCTTGGACCCAAATGCAAGCTTCCAGCTGTGAGTCACTTTCAACCCAGTGGCAATGAAGTTGAACACTTTTTTTGTCATTTTATTGATAACGTACTGAAAGTTCAAGCTAAAAGCTATTTAAAAAAAGAAAGAAAAGGAATGAGATATCCATTTGGGAATTAAAAAATAAAACCACTTCTTCACAGATCATAAACTTACATCAAAAAAACCCCAAAGAATCCACAAGACAGCTGATAATACGGACAGCTGAGAACGAGGGTGGCCCGGTGGCCAGGGCGGGATCAACATGGAGACACCAGACAGCTGGGAGTTCCACCGTGTGTACGTTCAACTACACAACACATTTTAAAAGAGAAATGAAAAGCACTGGAAGGGAACCTCAATAAGTAACTGAAGGCGACAGCATCGATCATTTTTATTTGCTATCCACCTCGGAATCCACCACCTCCAGAGAGAAACACAGGCAACCTCTGCGCATGTGACTTCCAGCCGGAGGGTGAGCTGTGTGTCAGCTCCAACTCAGGCAGAGGGAGCAGGAGGGAGGGTGGGCAGGAGGACGGGGTGGGGAAGGAGAGAGGCCGATTTAGAAATACACGCTGTCCCCGCGTCAGCGCATCTTTGCAAGCCCGGGAATGCCTGTATTGACAAAGAGATGGAAGTAACAGAACAGAGAAAAAGTAAAAGGTATGGAGAGAAGGGCCCTGGCGGTGCCGGGAGGTAGCCATGCACATTTTTAAATAAGAGGAAACTTCCTCCAATAAGTGTGCATTAAGCTCCATCATTTCCCCAATTGCTAAAGACAAGTTCTCTCCTGAGGCGGAGTGCGACCTGGTCATGACTGCTGCGTGGCCACCTGCTCACAAGGAATCTCAACTATGAGCAACCAGAAAACGCAGAGGTCAAGAAGTACATTCTAAACCAGGGGCCCCACCCACCCGAGGGCCTCAGATACCAGAGACAGCCTGAAAGGGGCCATCTCAAGAGAAAGCGTGGGTGCACTTACCACACCAGTGCACACACGTGTGCACACCCCCCGCCCTTACACACACGGGAGCACTTACCACACCAGCGCACACGCGTGTGCACACCCCCATCCCTACACACACGGGAGCACTTACCACACCAGTGCACACGTATGTGCACGCCCCCATCCCTACACACACGGGAGCACTTACCACACCAGCGCACACGCACGTGCACACACCCCACCCCTACACACACGGGAGCACTTACCACATCAGCACACAGCACAGTCACAGGTGCACACACACACAAACACACCCCTACACTCAGGTGCAAGCACACGCACACTTTCATAAAGAGACATCCGTGACTGACCCTACACCCAGGGGGCATCACCACAAACCCAAAAACTCCAAACTGCAACCATCACAGCCATCCCCACTGCCTGTAACCCCGGAGGACAGGGAACACCCATCGGGCTTCCAAGAGGACAACCTTGTCTTTCTCCTGCAGTGTCTACTGGGTTCAAATCTCCAACCTCTCAGAGGTGAAGCGCTTTAACCAGTTAGTCACCTGAGTCCCTTCCACCACCAGTGGCTGCTTGACAGAGCCCGTGAGAGTGGGTGCCCACTCATCAGGGGTCACCCTGTGTGTCTCCATCAGCAGCTCCACACCTGGGAATTTTCAGGTTCAGCTAGAGCCCGATGATGCTGTTGGCCCTGGGGCCACAGTTCGAGAACCTTCATTACACAACAGGCTTCTCTCGGAACCAACACGCTCGCCTGCCTCCTGCACACACGGAGGCTGGACAGGGAGGCCGGCCAAAGGGGAGCGGCGCCTTTGCACCGTGATTTGGTGGGAACCGGGACCACCCCAGGGGCCGCCAGAACAGCCCTATCCTCCAAGTGCAGCCCAAGTTCTCCTTAGACGTAAGGACGGAGAGGCCATGTACCCCACACGCTGAAGGTGTTGCCAAGAGAGAGCGACCCTGGAAGGCACCAGGCTTGGGAAGGCCGAGGGTCCAAGAAGGCAAGGGAACGGGCACGGTGGCTGAGCCACGCCCAGCACAGACTGTGGGGGCAGCGCAGAACCAGGGTGCTCTGCTGTATACGGGGTCACTGAGACTCAGAACCAAATGGAGCAGTTCTCTCAGCGACCACACGTCAGGGCAGAAGTGCGCACCACACACTTCCAGTGGGGAGTTTGCCAAAACAGACGCCCAGCTCTTCCTCCGGTGCCTCCGGCCACAGCACCGTCGTCAGCGGTCAGGGCTCTGGGCACCCAGGCCGCCACGGCCTCCGCAGGCCCGGGAGAGTGAGCGCGCTCAGGCCTCGCTAAACACAGGCCCCGAAACTCGGCGAAGCCAGGACTCGTGAGTGCTTGTCCTCGGAATCCACGCAGCTGAGGCCCACTGGCCTTCCGGGGCTGTAAGTCAAAGACAGACGGACAGACGGCCATCCCCCATTCCCCCTCAGAGAGGATGGCGCATTCGAACCGCCAACACCACATGCCCTGCAGACAAGGCTGCCAGAGGTCCTTCTGAGGGGCTCCCGCCTGGCTTTCATTCAGGCCCTGGACAGCGGAGAGGCCCTGGGGGACAAGGACATTCCAGACCCAGCTGTGACTGAAGACAGAGCAGGGCCAGGCTGTGGGGACTCCCCAGGAAACCCTCATCCTGCGGAAACCTTCACATCTGAGCCCAAACTGTCCCACAGGTCAGCCCGCTGCAGAAGAGCAGGTGCACAGACGCCACCTCGGTCAGATGGACAGACTGACCACAGCGCCTGGAAAGGGCGGGGAGCAGGAGAGGGGTGGTGGTCCACAGGGCACGTGGTCCTTGTGCTGGGTTATGCCCGGGGCAGTGCTGGGGGTGCGCTTTGTCCCCCCTTGTCTCTCACACACCCCCTCCTGGAGAGCATACAGTAACTTCCTCTTTGGAGGAGAAATGTCTGTAAGCTGCGGAGTTCCTCAGAACTGACTGTTCTCAGTAAGTGGAAATACAAGGTCCATCAGCCTCATCGGCCTCCGGAATGAGGTCAGCAGCCCCTCGGAAGGGTGCGCTGTTGGGTAGAGGGTGAAGCATGGACTGCTGGCTGGAAGGCGGGGAGTCTGAACGCAGCCACTCCCTCGGATAAAGACGGTCTGCTCCCGCCAGCCGGGGGAATCACTGCAGAGGACGCCTGACTCCCGAAAACGGAGCTGCTTCCCTCAGAACCCACCGTTAGGTCCACGCGCGCTCAAGTGACCCTGCAGGATGTGACCCTGCAGGATGTGACCCTGCAGGACGGAGGGGACTGCCCCACAGGCCCCCGAGACTGTGACTCTATGCAACAGAATGATGCACCTTTTCCACAAGGAGCCACTGGTAGGTCTGAACTGCCAACCTCACTATCTGCAGCTGCTTAATCACTAGGTCACTGTGGTTAGGTACCATCACGTTAACTCTGACTCACGGCGACCCAAGGCACACCAGCTCCGAGCCTGGTCTCCTGGGCCATCCTCACCGGCGTCCTACGGAAGCCCTCTAGTCAAGCCATCAGGCTGAGGGTCTTCCTTTCACTGACCCTCGCCTTTCCCAGCAGGGTGACTCTCCCCGCAGATTCTTTCTCCTAGAAACACAGCCAAGTGAGTAAAGAGCCCCACCCTTGTCTCCCAGCAGCATGCTGGTTCCACTTCCTTCAGAACAGACTGGTTTGTGATCTTGAGACTCCAAGACTCGTCTCCAGCGCCCGACTCAACGGCAGTGATTCTCCGTCCTCCTTACTCACTGTCCAGCGTTAGGGAGCGAACGCAATTCCCAGGACATGGGTCAGGCCCACCCTGTAGTCCAAGCTGTCGCCTTTGCTCTTTCATACTCTGGAGAGTCCTGGACAGAGGACTCCCCGTGTGACGTGTCTTCTGATTCCCTGACTGCTGCTACCAAGGTGCTGTCTGTGGACCCGAGGAAGATGGACTCCTTGACAAATTCAATCTTTGTCTCTCATGGTGTTATCTAGTGCTCTGCTGGTGGTGATTTTTTTTCCCTTGATATTGAAATGTAATCTCTGTTGAAGGCTTGTATAGAAAATTCTATGGATATGTCCCTAGATTTCCCCATTTTCATGCACACCCCTAAACCAAACCCACCCATTGCCATGGAGGCCATTGTGACTCAGAGTGGCCCTGAGGACAGAGCACTGCCCAGAAGGTTACCGGGCTGTCACCTGGATGGGGACACACTGCACACCTGTCCCGTAAAGCGGCTGTGGACTCACTGTGGAGTTTTACCTTAGCTAGCAGCCGAGTGCCTTCACCAACAAAGCTGGTGGCCCAGGAGCCTCGAGGAGCCCTAAGCCACTGCCCGGGGTCACGGAGCCGGAATTAACCCGAGAGCACCCACAGACTAGACAAGTGGGCTTGCACCCCATGTTCTCTCACCTCTGCTCCCCCACAGCACTGCACAGGGTTGCCGACACTAATCCGCAGGGTTGTGAGCGCCCACAGTGCGCCCACTGAGGGCCCACCTCCCACTGTGAGAACACCAGCCGCAGAACAGAGTTTGTGTCCACTGTGTCCACGGCCGCTTTGTGAGAAGGAGACTCCAGCTCCCAGTGGCCCACGGTGCAGAGCACCCACAGGTTGCCAGGCTTTTTTCCCGCAGTGTCTCTGGGTGGGAATGAACCGCCCGCCACCTTTTCAGCCAGCAGTCGAGCCCTGACCACATTCCCCACCAGGCCACCAACTTAACTCACCCTCAAACACAAAGCCCTCTCACGGCGCTCCAGTCGGTCCTGACCGCGACCCCGCAGGCCTGAGCAGGACACCTCCGAGGGGCTGAGCCCGTGAACACGCAGGATGCATACTGCCCGACTTCCTCTCAGGGGGACTGGCAGCTTGAAATTCCCCTTTCCCAGAGACTATGAGGGTGTCGTCAAGACCTCGGGTAGAAAAGGCCTCTGAGCACTGGTACCAAGACCACCAGCAATGACAGAAACAGGGAAACGGGGCTTCATCAAACCAAAGCGCTTGTGTCAGAGAACCCAAGAAAGCAAAAAGAAAAGGGGCAGAATTTACCGGGCAAGAAAGCTGGAAGGGTGTGGGGGAGGAAGGCATATGGAAACAGGAAACACAAGGAGGAAGCAGGGAGAATGCTGCCACTAGGTGAGACCTGTGATCAGTGTCACCAACCAGAGAAAACCAACATGCTCTCCCCAAGTTCACCAGGGTCCCCACGGAAAGGTTCTCTAGCACACACGTGTACACATGACTCTGTGTGTGTGTGTGTGTGTGTGTGTGTACTAAAAAAATGGGCAAGGATCCAAAGGAACATTTCTTGGAAGAAGACGCCCAGATGGCAGACGTGGACCCGCACAGATGCTGCCCATCTCAAGCCTTCGGGAAACAGCACCCACAGCCCGAGAAGACAGCACTTTCGTCCCGAGTTGGAGAGACTCCAGCACAGTCGCTCAAGCTTGGGCTGCTCCCCGAAAGCTCAGCAGCTTGAACCCACCAGTTGCTCGTCTGGAGACAGATGAGGCTGCCCCTCCTGTAAGACCTCCAGCCTCGGGATCAGGCTCTGTGGCAGCGATGCTGGGGGCCGGGATGTGACCCGAGGAGGTGAGGCTGGGGGTCAGGACGTGCCTGTAGAGGAGATGCTGGGCGCCCCGAGGAGGTGACACTGGGGGTCAGGACGAGTCCATGGAGGTGAGGTTGCTTAAATGGGGTTTAAAATCAGTCTCTGTACAAGGTGACTGACAGCCTTCTACTTTGGAGTAACTTGGGCTCAAACCTTTAGGTCCACAGTCAAGCGCTTCAAAGCTGTGCCACCATGGTTCCTTTAAGAGGGGAGGGGCGGGAATAGCTAGTTCGCTTAGCACCTCACTGGAGTGAAGCCATGTGTCCGCTCCAAGCGGAGAAGAGCTGTGTCCACCTCAGCCTCTCAGGACCCCAAGGGGGTGTCAGGGTCCAGCCCCTCCAGCAAGTGAGAGGAAGGCGGCAGGTGGGCCTCCCAGTACCCTGAAGGGGCTGCTGGAACTGGCCTACCAGGGCCTGCCCAGCTCCTGAAAGGCCCCATTCAGGTCCCACTTAGTCCCCAAAACAAACCTCAGTTCTTCATTTGGAAGTGTTTATGTTTAGGGAGGTCCCTGCGACACTTTCCAGAATTTCAAAGGAACAAGCTTTCAGCGAATTTGGGAACCCTGTAATCACTTACAGAGCAGGGGCTCCCAGGTCCACACAGACAGTCATGTCTACTTAATGAAGGCCTTTCTGGGGTTGGGGCTTTGTTTTTCCTTTAACTCTCCTCCTGCAGGGAGGCTGTCAGAATATGACTCAGGCTTTCTATAACCCAGCAGGAAGCTGAGCACCTTCCAAACCACCACACAGAGCTGAGTGCGGAGCAGTGAGGAAGTTGCCAGGATGGTCTTGTTCAGGAAAGTTCCAGAAGGCAGCCCACACTCTGCCCAAGGGGGTCAGCAAACCCCATCCCCAAACGCTCGTCCAACCGTGACAGGAAAGGAGAGGCCTAAGACGAGGGCCTGGCCTCACTCAGATTCTGGCAGACAACACAGGAGGAGAAAACTCCCCAGGCCAGAGACACCTTCTCTGAAACCGTGTCCCCACAGCAGTGGTCACTGACTCCAGGGCTTCAGCGGGAGAAAACCACCCCCGCTGCTCAGTTGGTTCTGACCCATTGTGACGCTGCAGGACAGAGGAGGGCCGCCCCCAGGGTTTCCAGGGCCATAAATCTTTCTCTCTCCTGTGGGGCGACTGGTGAATCTGAACTGCTGACCTAGACCTCAGCACCTGAGTCACGCTACCAGGGCTCCTTCCAGGACACTAAAGCCCATGGCCATCGCCTCGATTCCAGCCCATGGTAACCCTCCCTCGGGTTTCTGAGGCCACAGATCTCAGCAAGAGGGGCCTGCCTATCCTTCTCCAACGGAGCAGCTGGTGGATTCAAACCGTGGGCTTCAGGCTGGCAGCACAGCTCCTTATCCACTAGGCCATCAGAGCTCCCTGATGGGTGGTTTAGGATTTCTGAAGGGTTCTGGGCCCTTACACGACTTGTTAGATGCTTGTGGAAGAATGATTTTAAGACAACCACCTCCTGGCTGACAGGGGAGCCTTGCACCCAGTGTACACACCAGCTCATGCATGTGGGCCGTGTGTAAACGCACGCAGGATAGAGGTGGCTGCCTAAGTCGCTTCCCAGGCCTGTCCCTGTGCACCCCTGGGCGACTTCAAATCTCCAGCCTGTCACCTCGCCTTCTGCTGCTGCACCCCCAGTGGGGCTTCATCTCAGCCCTTGTCCCTCACTGTTCTGCTGGGCACCGCAGGGTCACTCTCAACCCACAGTAACCTGTGTGACAGGGCAGACCTGCCCCAGGGGGTCTCCTCAGTGGTCACCTTTACAGGACCTGCAGAGAGTCTAGGTGGGTTTGAACCACTGATCTTCCAGTTCGAGGGTGAGTGCTTAATTGCTGTGCAACTCGGATCATCTCACTAGAACATGATCTTGTTGACTGGTGATTCCCGCCACAGGTCATTAAAGGCTGTGTCTGAAGATGTTCATTCCCATGAGGGAAGGTGGCCTGGGCACTACAGAGTTTTTCAACTGTAATTTGAATTAAAGTTAACAAATTTATCTTCCATTCACTCATTCACACATTTTTCTCCTTCTCTCCCATCCGAGCTGTGAGGGCCTCCTGCTCCAGAGTGTTGGCTGTAACACACATCGGTGCAGAATTTCTGAAGTGGTTTGTCCAGAGCTCAGTCACAGTGCAGAAGTGACTGCAACTGGTAACAGACTCGCCCCCAGGCCCAGACTGAACACCAATCTTCAGCCACAGGCGGAGGGTGCAGACAGACCCGAGTCACAGCTTCTCTCCCCGCCCAGAACGCCCCAGCATGACAGGCAGGGCACAGACTCTGAACGTACACACTCTTCAGGGATTTTAAAATGCATCTCCCTTCTACAACCGAGAAAGGAGTCCTACCAGCATAGTGTACTATCTGCTGCATTGCTTACCTAAAGCTGAGCGGTTCAAATCCTCCAACTGCTACTCGTGAGAAAGATGGGCAGCACGTGTGCTTCCCATGCCTAGTGGACAAGGAGCTGTGCTGCCAGCCTGGGCACCCCATGAAGTTTAAGCCACAGAGACCACGGGGAGGGTCACAAGGCTTCAGATCAGCCTGACAACAGTGGATGTGCTTCAATTCCTGCGTGAGCTGTCCCCTGAACAGTACTGATGGCAACAAGCCCGCTTCAAAAACGGCGACCTACAACCACAGAAGACCAACAGTCACACAAGATCAAAGGGCAGCACTGCCCCAACCAAGGCTCAGAGGCAGGAAGAAGTGGGGAGGAGGGCGAATGGAAACGGGGAGCCCGGGTGGAATGGGGAAGGTGCTGTTACATTGAGATGGTTGCAATCAAAGTCATAAAACAAAATGTGCATAAAGTGTAGAACAGAAACCAAATTTGTTCTGCAAACTTTCACCCAAACGGAATAGAAAGGCAAAGAAGAAAGACCGTCTGAAGAATTGAAGAGGAAACGTCCACGTGAAGGGCTGGTGGTGAGGTTCACTGTCGGTGAATCCCCGGGAGCTCAGAAGATGGGGGTGGTTCAGGGTAGAGCGCTCCCCTTCCACGCTGGAGACCCAGGTTCAAGTCTCCAACAGTGCACCTCACGTGCAGCCACCACAGTCTGTCAGTGGGGCCCACTGTTACAAGGATGCTGAACAGGCCAAAGGAGCTTCCAGACTAAGAAAGACTGGAAAGAAAGGCCTGGCAACTGACTTCTAAAAATGAGCCAACAAAAACCTTGCAGATTGGAGATATGATCCCACAGGGGGTGGGCGAGGAGGGGAGGTGGCACGCTGCATGACTGCCTGTGGGGGTCCATAGGACGCTGGCCTGAGGCCAGACCACAAACAAGGAAGCTTGGGAACTTTGATGGTGGTGAAGACTTGATGTGGACTCCAGCCTCCAAAACTGCAACAAAATCAACGTGCAGCCCCTGAAGTCACCCACTGGTGACCTGCTGGAGGGAAAACCAGTTTGCCCTGTAAGCTTTCACCAACAATATAACTTATTAAAAAGTGACTGAAAAGAAAGGAGTCCATGTGTTTCAGCAGCACTGGGTAATGAAGACACAGAACAGGTCCTTGCGCTCAAGCGATCCACATCCGAGGAGGAGGTCACTGCAAGGGCCTCTCCAAGCGCATCTGCCGGCATCACGTCAGCCAGAGCCCTCCGTCTACTCAGCAGTTCCAACACCTGAAACTTTTAACAGTGGCTGTTGGGGGTGGGGAGCCGGACACTTCACCTGCTCTGCCAAGTACCCGTGTGCACACACATACTGTTGTCGATCAGAAACTGACTCACGGCTGACCCTCCAACAGGTTCCCAGAAGCTGTAAATCACACAGGCGACTGCCCTTCGGTCTCCCGAGGAGCAGCTGGTGGATTCAAACCGCCTGCCTTTGGGCTGGTGGCACAGCTCCCTATCCACTTGGCTACCAGAGGTCCCCCTGTATAAGCGTCAAGGGATGTTTTTCATACCAAGTCGACTTCAGTCGGGACATCTCACATCAGCGTCCTCACTCCCTGCCCCTGGAGTCCAAGCTGATAAACCCAGCTACCCCCTGCAGTGTCCGAGGCTGTCAGCTGTTACGGAAACAGACCGCGTGGGCCTTCTCCTGGGGAGTGACCGGTGGACCCGAACTGCCGACCTGCTGGTTACCAGTCCAATGCATAATGCATTATGCCATCAGGACTCAAGAAGCACAAACATGGCACTTCCTGATACAGGACAGCAACACGAGGACAGAAACATTTCAAACGACACAGTAGCGCAGGAAGGTGTTACGTGAAAGAACACACCATAAAGCATACCTCCAACCCAGAGACTGAAAGGCAGCGCGTGTTCCAAAGCAGAAGGCAGAAGGAATAGCGGAAATGAGAAACGCAGACAGGAAGTGGGGAAAGCGCTGGCCGGCATCTGAGCTGGGCCTCTCCACAGCAGGGAGCAGGTCGGGCACACTGCACTAGCCCAGTGTCTTCTGCCTACGCTGAGGTTCCTGAGAATTACCCAAACGTCATGGGATTTCACTCCAGATTTAGTTATCAGCACACGAAGTCCAACTGACTCCCATCAAAACAGCTACTATACACAACCCAAAACATAAAACGAGGGCTGTCCTGGTGGCGCAAGCGGCGAGGCCCTCAAGTGCTGCTTTTCAAAGGTCCACAGTTCAAACTCACCAGAGGCATAATGGCAGGTGAGCCTCGGGGTCAGCCTCTGGAAGGCCCTGGAAACCCCACGGGGCAGGTCCACTCTGCTCACCACAAGTCGAAATCACCTCAACTCTGTGGCACCAAAAGCCACCACCATGCACTCCCTAATACCCACTGCTCCCAGGCGGCTCCAAATCACAGGGACCTGGTGGGCCGGGGCTCGGCTGCCCTGCAGGGACCCCGAACCTGCGACCTTCATGCAGACAGCCTGCCTCTTCTTTCTCTCGTGGGCACCACTGAGTTTTCAGTGGGCAGCCCAGTGTTGAACCCACAGTGTAACCACGACTCCTGATCCCACAGCCCGGACATCAGAGGAAAGGTGGTCTCTGACCCTCCTGGATCTCTCTAGCTGGACATTCCCATCCTGGTGCCGAGTGA